GTTTCATATTAAAAGAAACCAGAGAAGAGAACTGGCTCTTTGCTCTCTCTGGAGCATTTACCAGAAGTGAGAGGGAACCCCTATTTAGCAGCAAGCTCTAATTTCATTCCCAGAAATCCTGCTCGCCCCCCCCCCATCCAGTAGCTGAGAGAATAACTCAGCTTGAGGGGCGATAAAGAGTGTAACACGTTGGGGAGCAATTGTGTTGATTCACTGGACACCTTTGGGGTCAAGCACAGCCGCAAAGTGAAGCAGTTCCCTCCAAGACGATGGCTGTTAAGGCCATGATCATACCAGCGCAGCATGACTGCTGTAACTGATACTGCTCTGCAAACAGCAGAGTCAGTAATACAAATGTGTTAGCAGCACATTTCTCTGATCATCATCCAGGTTTCTTTAATCCTCCTCCTGGAAGCATTACAGGATCGGTCAAAAGTGTATCCCATCATGCAATGGGCCAGACAGAGCCAGCTGGATGTTCCAAGAGCAAAACAAAAACACTTTATGATATCAAGAAGCCACACTAATTAGATTAATATATGTATGATCCAAATCCATGACAGGTGTTTGTGGATGTTGATTTAAAAAAAAAAAAAAGCTGTTGAATAAAAACAAACGTGGCTTGTTTTCCATAGTTTTGACAGATTTACACAAGGTTTTCAGGTGAAGGGTTGATATTTATGCAGTACTGTAACTGAGAACAGGCACGAGGCAGGCATGCTGCACACATGGTCAAAAGCTGCTCTGAGTTGAATACTGTAGAGCTATTGGCAGCAACAGGGGCCACTCGACACCCAGCCCACAGTCTCAAACATTTTACCGTACATTTAAAAACCTTGTGTTTTACTGTAAAACACATCTCTCTGTGTGTATTTGCTACCTTTCTCCGGTTTACCTAACTGCTTTTTAAGTAACAAAAGCAGTATGGAGCATTTAGCCTGTTCTTTCCTCGTCAAACTGCACTGTGGCCTTTGCTATAGATCAAACATGCTGGGAATATGTTTGGTCATGTCCCTTCACTGAAGGGCCTTCAGTGACTCAGCACCATGATCTATCTGTCCGTCACTTTGCACCACGTCTTTTACCATCTCACATTATTGCTGCTGCTGCATTATTGCTGCTACCGTGACAAAGTCCAATATGAAGTTCAGTGGCCTTCATACCGCAGGTTGTTGCATAACCACCATCTGTACATAGCCACACTCCTACAATGTTTGTATACATTATGGCTGCCTAAAGATCCACACAGTAATGATATTAAAGTCATTGGTGGAAGAGGTATTCTAATATTTTACTTACAGAAATATTTAACCAATAAAATACCTCTTTGTACAGTATATATTCAAGAAGTCAAGGTAATAGCATGTGGTTAGTAATTAAAATACAAATGGTCATTTTAAGAGTGAAGTATTCCTTTAAGAGTAGCCATACCACACTGAAAAAATAATCAATTAGAACTAAAAATCGTACATCAAAAAATGAACGTCAGCAAAAGTACATAATGTACAAAATGTAGCTGTACTAGCTGCAGCTCATTTTAAAAATGCACATACTTTTAGGTGGTTTAATTTCCCATATAACAACACATAGTTTTTTAAATCACCTTCTGCAAATTAACTCATAGCCTATAAACCACAATGAATTGCTCTATTTTGATAAAAAAGGTATTCAAAGCGGTATTTATTCTCCCTTCTCAATGACTCCTGTATTAATTGTTCTTTCCCCCTACAATTCTCCTATAGAGCACACATTTACATTATTAAAATGGTAGACTTGTTGCTTACTATGATTCCTAAACTATCAGAAACTGCCAGGAGGTGAGTGAGAGCTGGACGCTCACTAGTTAATGTTGACGCGGTTCATGTTACAGAGAAATGTGCATGCATATTGATGCATTTCGGTCTGTTGCAGAAGTCAACACATTTTTCTTTCATGTGCTGCAAAGCAGATTGATTGACGCCTTATCAAACAGTCTGCATGATAATGGCTGCTGTGATAAGGTCTGACCCTGTGGTACCCTGGTACACTAATTCAGCTCCATGGCACATATTCAGGTTTCCATGGGGAGCTCTTTCCACTCCACCACGCACAGCCGATGTTTTTCCACTGCATGACCCGGGGATATCTCACATCTTCTTACTTATTCACTTATCTAATCTGGACGTTAAAAAAATACAAATAAATCAAATACAAAATGTTGCAGATATGGTATCTTGGAATAGTGGAAATAGTTTCTATGATAATTTGGGAGATATGCGGTCATAATCTTTAATGACTTTAATGTATAACAGCAGTAATAGTTGCACGAAATTACCTCACTGGCCGTCAGAACCTAAGATGACCTGTGCACAGTGAGCTCTACAGACAGATCTGTAACCCTACACGGACTCTCCTATAATCTTTAAAGAAACTGTTTCAGTACTCAAACCCACCAATGAATAACACTGAACTGCTGGATCATGATCTTTAAGTGCTAAAAGGCTTTCGGGGCTTGATAGGTATTCACACACAAACCACCCTTGTTACATTCAGAGACATCCCTGGAAAAGTATTAACAAACATGGTTATGTACTGAACAAACTCCACACACAGGCGCGCTGATGTCGCCATAAATATTCTATGAATACACCTTTATTGTATGTAGTGTCAGCTAGCATGCATGAGTTGCAAACTGTGGATCTGCTCTGACCCTTGAGGTCAAACACATAGTTGTGTTGCAAAGCACGAGTATTCAAGAAGGCAGGCTATTTAAATGTGTTACACTTTCAATTTTAACCACCACGTGCAAGTTGCCTACAGGATTGACTTGTTTCATGTTTCACTGGGGCAACAAACTGTGCCTGCCGGCAGCTGCAGCCTCCTGGCAGCTGGTTGGTTCCGCTCTGTGCAGAGGTTGATTATCTCAAGCTTCACTGCCCAGCACGGATACGCACTTTCTGCTCCCCAAATCCCTGCAGCAAGTGATTGCAGCAGACCCTGACTGTGAGTCACCCGTTTTGTTCATGGAGGAGCTTCGCTTCTTCTGCTCTGGTCACACCAGCGAACGATGAGGAAAAGACTTGTGAGAGTGTGACACACGGCTGAGCATGACAGCGGGGGCCAAACGTGGCTCCCTGAAGAGGAACGAGCACGATGAATCACAGAGCAGATGACAGCCGGGGATTAAATTGGCCATGTGGATTATTTCTTGGAAGAGCTGGAATTTATTAGTTTTAAGTGAAAGGCGTGGCTTTTCCCGGCAGTTCGATAACTGTGTGTTGCTCATGTGTTTCGAAAAAAAGAGAAGGAACCAGCCAAGTAAAAGTGTCACACTAGACAGTGAAGTCTGGGCTGAGTCTATATAATGACCACTTATCTCATGAAAAGAGTAGAAGCTTAGGCCTCATGTGATCCACTTATGTTAAAGAGTGAGTCTGATCTAACCCCTTTTATTAAGTAACATAAATTCACCTTTTTGATAAAAAACACATCCTCTTATTGTAAAATCTAGCAGTAAAGCAGGCCTCTCATCCTCTCTGACTGGGTGGTCATCTCTGTGTCTGTGCCACACCAGTTGGGGTGAAAGAGCATGAAACACTCCAGTGAGCGAATAATCACCTGCAGCCACGTCAACAATGCTGACAAATACACCTAATTCCCACTAAAGACCTACATTTGCTGGTGTTGTTAACTTAAAGTCATCTTCACATTGCTCATGTGCAAACAATGTTTTAGCCTTCTAGGCGATGGAAGGCTGTGGTCGAAATGCAACACAGCTGCTGAGGCGGTGATGCTTTTTTGGCTTTCGCCTCCTGCGAGACACTGAGCCAAAAGTCTGACCATCTGTTTCATGTTAGCTTAAGATATACAGGTACGGTGACTTGCCTCAGCAAGGAGTCTTATGAAGTGAAAGGATGAAATAGATACCTAAAAAGGTTAGGAAATACATTAAGGGTATCATACTTCATGACAACTGTGGTGTTCTGTTTTGCAAACATGACATTCTTTGTCTGAATCCAGATCCTTAGCATTAGTCTTCACACATCTTTTTCTTCCTGTATTTCTTATTTTTCTCCCCTGTTAACCCCTTCTAAAAACAGTGCACATTTTAGTGAGATTTGTAATAAAAACATTAAAAAGTACCTCCAACTAAATACAACTATTTGTACTATTTAGAAGATAACACACAATTGTGCATTTAAAGCGTCCTCTTTGAATGGTGACTTGAATCAGCATACAGGAGACACCAGCTGCCACATGCAGACACCACTTCCAAAAAAAAAAGAAAAGTGATTCTGGAGGACCTTAAAGCAACATTTGTACTTACATTCTTACTCGCCCAGAAGTGACAGATTGAGAGCAGTCAGACTCCAGCCTCAGCTGCACGGTGCATCCGTTGTGATCACTGGCCTTCAGGCTCTTTTTCTCCGGTTTTTAATTTCAATAATTACAGGCAAACCGCCTTCTTAAGAAAGTATAACCCTGGGCACAGAATAAACATCAGGTCGCCAGCAGTGTAAAGGAAACAATTCACTACACTGTGATGACATTTTACTTTGCATGGCAACTTAAGAGGGGAAAAAACTCTCCAAGCCACAGTCCAAAAGACTTAATCTTATTAGGTGGGAGAGCATCTCTGGGCAGATGTGTTTTTGCCTTTTGTTGAATACTATCATGACCTGTATACATTGAACTGACCGAGTTTTGTCCTCCCCATCACCTAATTGTGACTATCATGTACAAATACAGGCACATGTTCCTAACCACTCCTCCATGTCCGTCTGTCCACACTGCAGGCCTTTCTCATTCTGAACACATGAGGTCAACATGCATCTCTTCATTGTTTCCATGAAGGAGCTGTCACAATGGATGAAGCCTAAAATCACTGATTGTACTACGTTATAGTTCAACATTGGTCTGTTTAAAGTCACTGTAGTTTGAATAAAGTGAACACAGGGTTTTCTATAAGACGCTGCATGCTATCTGTGTATTTTTTAAAGAATCTGAATAAAACTCCAAAATCAACAAAAAGTGATCATTTTTATTGACCATGTGTTACAGTTCCACTGTTACATCCTACAAAATACAAACAAGTGTGTTCATACAAGCACTGCTCGTAACTGTCTACACAGCCTATGGGTCTCGATGCAGACTGATGGCTGAACGACCCACCGACTACGGCAACGTGGTTCTTCACAAACTCACAACCCAAGTACAGCTTCAACGCTCAGTTACAAAAAATAAATACATCAAAAGGCCTTTCGTCTAATGGTTGTCATGTTCCTAAACTGTCCTCTGACTGAGCTGCAATCTGTATCCACACGCTGCCCCCTAGTGGCACAAAGTAACTGCTGCCATTTGCTATTATTGTACTCCACTAACACAGAGAAGAGGGTTACGTTTCATAGAGTAAGACGACGAAAAGGTCACCGCTGTGAAAATGAGCACGTAAAGAGACCTCATGAACATTCCTAGAACATTACATCTGTGCTGTAACCACCAACACACATTAACAGGAAACAGTGCGTCAGAGATAAATACTGCAATGCAAGTCCTGGTGGGCAGCAGCAAATTAGATTTTGATCTAAATACTTAAGACTTGACATCCAACAAGTTAGATAAAGCAAGAAAAATATGGAAATTACAAAATATGAAAATTATAAAATATGTCATCACAAGTACCCAGTCACACATGAAAAATACCTAGAGAAATTCACTCACTTACCTATTTGTTTTTAAGTATCGTCATTCAATGATTGTCTTCTAAAGTGATTCACTAGAAGAAGAGCATCTGATACACACAACGGACTACAAAACACAGCAAGACCTTGAAATGCAAACATTACCAATGAAATAAAACCTGCACCTTGCGCTCCCTCTTCAAACTCTGACTGCTCATTAATCTGAACACCGTGCAGCCGGTTCCACCAGGAGACAGTGGGGACGATGGAGGTCAACACGACAAGAACTGATGGGACATGACATAAGGCCAACTCTGGAGCTGATAATCCTGAAATGGCTCACTATTCAGTGCATGCCAGTTCAGTAAATCTAAACTTTTTGTCTTGTACGTCTAGCATCCACGCGTATACTGTAAGTGTTCCAGGATATAAAGACCCGTTTGCATAATACATTAGCAGGAACTTAAACACTGTGGCTGTGACGTATGGCTTGAGGTTCAGTGGAAGGTGTGGAGGCATGTTCCGGGTGTCTTCATAAAAAGGTGTTAAAAAAAAATATCTCTCTATTGTGCTTCCAGGTATTACTAAGATCTCCCTTCATCCTGAAGGACACATGTAGTATAGTAGGACATTGTTGATAAAACTCCAGGTAATGCTTAATCAACGCATCAGAATGACATCTCGAGATACCAAACGGCAACACACAAGCATAACCACCACTATGCAACATTGAGCGCCGTCGTTGACTCCTCTCTTGTGGCTGCCAGGTGTCCTCAGGGTAGCGGGATGAAGCCAATGTCATGTGCATCGCCCAGAATCAATGTAGTGCGGCTCAGCGAAGGGGAGGGGGAGGCCAGGCGGAAGGCTGGGTTGCTGGAGTGAAGAGAGTCTCTCCTCTTGCTGCTCCTGCTGAACGGGGGGCAAGAAGCCACCCTGGGCTGGCGGGCGTGCTGGCGCGAGCAGCCAGCGGAGGGCGTCGCCATGCTGGACACCTCTACGCCCAGAGGGGTGGTCTTTGGAGCTCCAGGGGGGCACAGGCCATGAGAGTCAAATGAGTGAACCATCCTCTCCAGCACACCCTTGGTGCTCTGAGTGCACTGTGTGGAGTGGAGAAAATAAAGTTTGTGTTATGAAAAAAAGAGTGAGCCGCAATGTAAAAACAGCACAGACACCGTCCAGAAAATTCTACAGTGTGTGTGATTAACAATCATTCGTTGAGAACTCAAGCACAGTGAAAGCAGTGATGATTGTCAACAGACTCAAAACGGAGAAGCATGGAAGAAGTGAGTTAAGATGCAGACAATGCAACACGGGTAAAGATTGACATGTGGAGAAGCCGATTCCCGTTTCTTCTGGCTCTGATGAAAGTAGAGTAGAGAGGGAGATACAGTTTATGCAGACCGCCATGCAGGGACAAACACCCCCCCCCCACACACACACACACACACCATATCTCACTACAGGGATGTTCATCAGCCTTCAAACACGAGCTCCATTCCACACAGAGTGAGCGAGCGGGTGTTAATGAGACGAGAATGAATGGAAGTGAAGCATGCACGTTAACCATTCCACGCCAATCACAAGATCTGCCCCCAACTTCAAGCCAAAAGTACAATATCTTAGAAAAGAAAATAACTGGTAAAAAGACACGGCGAATGGCAAGTGAAGAGATGTTGTGATTGGTTCAACGTTTGAGCCCTACTCTTACCATCGACCGTCTACATGCAGCAGTGCCCTTCAGGCTGTGCAGGACAAAGCAAAGTCCTCACAGTTCTCCTCCTGACAGGGCGGAATGGATACAGCACAACACTTGAGTGGGACATCTTTCATCTGGCAATCAAGTTACAGGCATGTACAAAACAAGTGCTCCTCATAAATAAATACACATGTTCACTTATTTATACCTACTGAAATAAAAATATAACTTCTTCAAGTCTGTAGTCAGGCAAAGAAAATGAAAAGTAAATTCAAAACAGAGACCAAAATCTCAAAAATATTGTTTATTTAAACATATAAAAGAACACTTTTTAGGGAAATGAAAACTGTACGTAACAATGAAAGTAAAAGTGGATTTAAGAAAATAAAGCTAATATATATCTATATATAAGACAGGATATGCTGACCATATTGAATGACAAATGTATTCAAGACATGTGACAAATGATCTGTGATAAAGTGCTGATAAATCAAAATAAGATCTAAAACCATTAGCATGCTCTACTAAAAAAGGCAGTAGTGAAGTGTTTTGTGTGCACACGCCTTCACCACAACACACAAGCAAACCCAGTAGTACAGCAACAAGGAGGTGGATACAGCAACACGTTGAACTCAAAGGGTAAGCTAAATATAAATAGTCAAACATCAGAAGTTGTTTACCGCCCCACAGCACAGACTGACCATGATAAATCTGCAGGGTGACTCAGCAACTCCACAGCCCCCTCAACAAGTGGTTACATTTCTACCTGTGAAAACTCCTAAAACTCCACTTTTAACTGCCCAGTGAGGCCAAACAGAGTTACAGCTGGCTTCCGGGACATTTTGTTCTGAAGCTTAAACGAGTGACACGGCAGTGTTGTTTCAGCATGCTGCAGATTACCTCTTCAGTCGTAGTAGTAATTGGCTAACATCATAGTTTCTACTGTATTTTGTCAGTCGAGTACCGCATGTCGGCCACTCAACTGGAGGGAGGATGAAGAAGTGGACACACACAGGCCTAACAACGTCACAGGATCTATGGGACAGTCAGGATTAGGGGGAGGGACCACAAGTTGGCTCATCCTACCATGTTCGCGTCATTCTTGGCCGGGAAGGGAGGCAGCTCCATCTCCGAGGCCGAAGCAGCAGCAGGCGTCGCCTCAACAATAGACAGGAAACCTCTTCTGTCAATCAGACTAGAGAGCACACACCAGAGGGTTACGTCAGGACTGTACATGATGCCATCATCACAGAAAAGACAAAATCTCAGTTTATGAGATGAGGACGTCTTGACTCACCTCGGGGGCATTGGGCCACATAACGTCACACAGCAGTTGGTGATGATATTGTTGTAACTGTACGGGTTCCCAGACTCCTCTGTACACCTTTTGCTTGACCAAGAGCTCTTTATCTGCACAGTGGATAAATAAAAGAGCGCTGTCAGTCAGTGGATGAAGTGTGTTGTAATAATCATGAAGGGAACTGTGTCATGTAGGGGCCATGAGTACTTACATCTTCATTTGTTGTGAGGTTGGAGGCTACTAAGTACGTATGGAAGCCTGAGAGGCCCAGAACAGACCAGATGGAGAAGAAACAAATCACCAACTCCACCACAGTGCGCACAGAAGAGTCAAGGCATGATAATACCACCATTACCAAAGAGTATTTGAGACACATGGAAATTAAAAATGATGATTAAAATCAATGGAAACACTGAATGTGTGTGTAAATAAGTATCGTTTCCCCTGTTGTGCTTTTTCTCTGCACAAAGCACAACATCTACAAGAGGTACTTCAGCCGTCTTATGTCTCAATGTCACGACTTACTAAAATAAACACAACACATGGGTGATATTATTATGAACTCTGAAGCTATGGTACTACAAATAACGCACAACCACTTCCTATCACACCTTTTGCCATTATAAGAATGTTAAATTAGAGAAAAATGGAAGTTCTTGTAAACTGTACTGAGGTCAACACTAAAGTAAATGTGCGTCACATACCACCTCCGCAATCTTGTGACACAGATCAACACAATAGGGACTCCTCACCAGCATGCTGTTGCTACACAACAGAATGGATCCGTTTTCTGAACTTCCTGGTTTTATATTTGTTTTGCGATATGTAATCCATCACAATGGACATGTTGCAAATTATATTTGATTTGTATATTGGCTAAAAATGCCATTACGGCATAATGCTCACAGAAGACTCAAAAGGTTAACGATCTAACTCGATGATCTGCTCTGTGAGATAACTCTTAAAAGATAACAGTCTGTGTATTCTTTCTGAATTCAGAAAAACACACAGACTCCAAAAAGATGACATGATGTCATGCACATCATGTGACCATGAGGAAACTAGCCCACACCCCGTCTGTGAATAACACATCAAACCCCTCATGCCGTCTACATTTATCTAACCACTGACATCGTGTCACGAGAACATGAGGCAGCAAACCTTCTGCCGGAGAGCCGTGTGCCTAACAGCACCGCTCTGCTGGATGCTACCGCTCTGATCCTATTAAGCGTGGGCTTAGGCTGAGGAGCAGCAGGAAATGCCTCGTCAACAGAGTGACTTGTGTCATTTCTTGGTACTAAAGGGTCGCAAGTTTAAATAATATTGATCACATAAAGAGGTTGATTGTGTAAACATTTGATATGTAGAAAGGATATCTGGCAGGGCTCTCTTGAACGGCTTGAATAAGGCTTTTACCTTCTTGAGAACCTGGAAAGAAAAAGGACAAATCAGAATCGAAGGAACGTTAAAGTGGTTCGTGATAACACGACAGGGACATCGTACAACTACCGACTACCATGTCTTCATACGTCGTGAGCATACTCACGCAGGGTGATGTGCGTGACGACACAGCCAAATATGAACGACGTCAGAAACGACAGAGAGATGATGAAGCTGTAGAAAAAGCGGTAATTGCGTTTGCCCACACAGTTCCCCACCCACGGGCAGTGGTGATCAAATCGTTCTGAGGGGGAAAAACACAGAGATTAGAGGCATGTTTGTATTCGTTGTAAAGAATAATAGTAAGATTTAATATGCAACATGCTATTGTATTTATATTCAATGTTATAAAAACACAATCACTCTTGCCCTGGAATAAATATGAGCTTTTTGTCAAATTATGACTTGCCAGATAAAGGATAGGTTCACTAGTTCCAAGTCTGTCGTAAAACAGCAGTGAGGTGTGACGAGTGAGACGGTGTGTTCTTGCTGTAATCAACAGTTGGCGGTGTTTTGCCAAATGGTGACCTAATGCCACCCACTAAATGACTAACTGCCTCGAGCATGTACATACAGAACTGCTCACTTAATAAAAAAAAATTAAAAAAATTCAAAATTAAAAAAAACTGGCATTCATACACTTTAAGCTTAATTTAATATTTGGTAAATGTTGTCAGGCAGTAAACTAATTTGAAGTCTAAAGGTAAGAGTTATGTTTTATAGTTGCTGTCTCCAGACAGATCAGTGGATTCATTAATTAAGGAAGGTAAACTGCATGAAGAAAACTGGAAACCTACCAGCCAAGCAGTTTGGTATGTTCCTCTAACAAAGATATTAAGTTGTCAAGATGAATTAGTGCAGTTGGCATAAGTGGTAACTTCCCACCACATACTTACCCACACAGTTGTCACAGAGGCTGCAGTGGGAGGTCCGAGGAGGGCGGAACATTTTACAAGTGAAGCAGTATTTGAGCTTCACCACCTGCTGGTTGATGAGAATCTCCTTGGTTCGCGGAGGGGGGCGATACGTAGAGGATCCTGAGGTATCTTAAAATAGAGAGGTACACGGGGAGAGACTCGCTGAGACCTTGCACAGTTGATGCTCACCCAATAAGCACTATATTGATATAATAAAAGGAATGATTAAAAATACGAATAAAAGCTATGTCTGGCTTTTGTGTAAGCTGATTAGGTCTTTGGTAGGCAGTTCAAAAACAAGTGTGTCCCTCAGAGATCCCCCCCCCTCATATGGCAAAGCTCTTTTACCCCATCTGTTTTACAGAGAGTGTGTGACTCAAGGTTGGGCCTTACCGATCTGCTTCTCTATGTCCGCTGCTTCATCTGGGGTGGCCCTGGGTAAGATGCCCGGGTCTGTAAAGCTGGTTCTCAGCAGGGAGATGACCACAAACAAGAAAAGAACCCCACCGATCACAGGTATAAAGACGGTTAGATGCTCCACTAGGAAAGGGCAACTGTAGAAAGAAGAATATACAAGTGCGTTTCAGTCAAAACCACGTTAATCCCTCAGCATGTTGTTGTTTATTTCCAATTGCACACACATTAGAATAGACATTTCATGGTGCATTCAGGGCTCACTGGACATTAACATACAAAAGAGCATTTGCTAGTTACTCACTCGAATGCGAAGAAAAGGCCACACGTGACAACAATAAGGCCCAGTGTCAGGGGAAGGACGCCGCTGTGTCTGGCCAGGATGACCCGTCCGTCGCAGAAAAACTTGTTCTTCCCCGGGAACACTTCCCATTTCCTCCGCGACCGCTGCACTGTCTTCTCGGTGTGGTTCTGTTGTGCGGACGAGGGCGACACCGACAGCGCCCGCGGGTCGATCTGCTGGTACTCGCAGTTTTTCATCACGTAACGTAAACAAGTATCGACGCGGTTTCGGAGGTAGCTAAAAGTCACTCACGACACTCTCATTCCTCGTGAGACTGTACTCTCGGGATTCAGTCATGGTACGTTGGTATGTTGTCTGCTCGGTGGTGCGTTCACTTGCCCATCCTGAAAGCTAACGCTAGCTAGCTAGCGAACCAATAAGGGCTGTCTTCTTCTTGTTCCACGAGCTGACTCAGTTCCGAAGTTGACTCAAGTTTAACTACCATTTTCGATAGTTAAATTAAAGCCATTCATACATACTAGTACTTATTTGGTTGTATTAAAATCGCCTTTACCATAGAATTCAACAGACGGGCTTCGACTCAAGCTTCTTGCGGTTGCTCACCTTACCTTTTTTTTTTTTGTTTTTGCCGACAGCCAATGTACGTCACGAGGTGGATGTTGACGTACGCACGCGGCGGGACTCCACGCTGGTTTATAACGGCCAAACGCGTCACGTATGTACGCGGATGGTTTGTAGATCAGTGGCGAGCACCAGCGCCGGCAAAGCAATTATCTGTGTGGATCGACATAAGCGGTTCCGGGTGCTATGTTTTACCTGCATAGATTAGTTCAAGCCCTGATCGAGAATATAACTATTCATTGCATGCTCTTGGTGCTCCTGTTCAGGCCCATAGCGGCCATTCTGTAGGCTGTCCTTCACAATGACTTCTGTATATAGAGACCTGGGAGGGTTTACATTGTGGGTGTTTTATAGGCTGTTTACAGTATTGTTTAAGTCATAAATCATGCTCATCGGTTCAGAGCAGATCTGACACATACTGGGTGCTACACACTGATACACTCTGATACACACTGTTGTTGAGACAGGTGGGTTTTGTCATCGGTATAGTGTCATCTAGAATGTAGCTTGGCATTTCTTAAATAATTTGCTTGGTTATCATTGATTATTGTTGATTTTTTTGCTGTTTCCGGTCTTTGTTTAGGTCTCGGAAGAGATGAAGTTGACATGACATTTACCAATAAATTACGACATTTGAGTTGGTTAAGAAAGAGGAAGCTCAGCTGCACTAAGCCACACGTCGGAGTATCTTTAGACAAGACACTGGACCCCAAATTGCTACATTGCATTTGGCAAATAGGCAAAGACGTCTGCAAACCCATACCACTGGTATATCATCACTTCATTGTTAATATTCTTGTCATTGTTGGTTCATAACTCTGTAAAGATCTACAGTCTGAACGTTTGCTTTCTACCAACCATCAGCTGCTTGAGAGTGAACCACAATGCCCTTCTTACCATGGTGAGTGCTTTCTGGGTCTGTGATGCTGAACAAACAGGTGATCGTCTCACTCTTTGAAGGGTTTGACTCCAAGGCCAGTGTTCTGTGTGCATGTCAGCTGTGACATTATTCCGTGTGTTTCCAACCGTGTCCTGCTGGAAAGACTTGAGTTAGTGCCACTTTTGCAACTCATGAGTGGGAAAGGGGTGGATGGGTTCATGCGTTGAATTTGAGTTTGTTTAAGCACAATAATGTATTAGACTCTGCGTAAGGGATGTGAAATGATGGCCACCAGTCAGGCTCTTACAGGAACAACAGTGTGTAGGATTTAGGGGGCTTTATTGGCAGAAATGGAATATAATATTCATAACTATGTTTTCATTCGTGTATAATCACCTGAAATCTTAAGGCTACCTTAGGCCAATGTAGTTCTCCGACAAGATTGTAAAGAGAAGGGTGAGCGGAGGGATGTTAAGATGGACGCAATCTGCAGCCTAAAAAACTAGATGCCACTAAATCCTACACACTGCACCTTTAATTCTTCAGCCTTTGCAAGAGGGTAAAAGTTTAATGTGCAATATTATGACTAAATAATATGTCCCAATTGAATGCAAAGGCTACTGCATGCAACAGGACATACTTTGTAAGAGCAGCTGTAGAATGTAAAGGGAAAAGAAAAAGTATGTGATTTGGAATGTGGCTCTTATCTCATGTTGTTTCGTGTTTTAATGTTCATCTGGTTTCACCTGACATGTTATTATCCGGGTCATGCGATTGCCTCCCATTGGTGAGGCCACAACACTTTTTGTCTGTTTGTTAAATGCCCTGACGAAGACCTACAGGCTTGGATGTATCCACTGCAATAAAGGCTTATTCCTGCCTCGTTGTTACTTGTTCTAAGATTGTAGAGTGCCTGGATTGCTTCCTGTTTATCCAGTTTTCCGAGAGCATCAGCATCATTTTTGATGTACGGTTAAGTGCACAGAGCCACCAGTTATTTCACCCTCCATATATTATTTGGTGTTTTTCGGATGGACGTGGTCAGTGAACTAAGTAGTTTTAGGACTGGCAGCAGCCTCTAGTGGTCTTAAAGAGATATCTGTAAGCATCAGGGGTAACTTGAGACTTGACATGTCTGTACAGTAACATAAACCATGAACATAAATTCACATATGTTGTTTGGATTTATCACAATTAGTTTCATCTTAAATTGAAGAGTAAACTTGCCGGTCTAACTTTGGTTCTCTACAACAAAACACAATATAGATGTTTTACATTAACGCCTTAAGAAAAGGTTTTACTTTTACATGAAAATAAAACTATATTGAAGATTCTTTTACAGCAACAAAACCTTTATTTTTGTCATTCACATTCAAATATCCCTAAACTATAACTTGGAATAATTCTTCCAAACATGCAGTGCTATATTAAACTATAGAATAAATCAAATGCTATGCTTCAGCAAGACCTCAGCAAGAAATTGAAATATTTGTTTTTCCACGTACAACCATATAGTCTTCCCAATATTTACAACTAAACAGTGTTCAACTAAGTTTCAGAAATATATTATAATACATGTTGTTAATTTGTTCTCAAAGACATTTAACTGAGATGTTCAAATCAAACTGGTTAACTATTGCATGAGTAAATCAGCATAAATAAATGTAATGTAATTGTGTCAGTGAGTTCTATGTAGGACTGGGCGAGATAATTATAATACAAGTCATTTTTCTTTTCTTTGGATTAAACTACCTCAACAGAGGTTAGTGAATTCATATTTTTTAAATTAAATAAATGCTGCATTCCTGTATACAGTTATGTTCTTTGTAATGCTATTGCAATAAACAATTACCGGAATAACAGAAATGGACTGTTGATGTACTTTAATAACACCTGTGTGTGTGATTTAACATATGTATATTGCCCAGTCATACATAGACATATTGCATTTAAAAAGGTCAGAGTAATCTCCTAAATCATGTCCACGGCAGGAAGTTACAATGCAGTGCCAGGCCCAGCACCCAGTAAGACAGGAAGTATCCCAGGATGCTCTGTGTGGTGGGAGAACAGGTTTTAAAGTGGGGCAGCAGTGCAATAATGGGGTTTTGAGGTCTGTGCTTGCATCCGTTTCTGGAATGTGCCTGTAGCTGAACATTGGGATTTGATGTTTTCCTTCGATGGAGAAGTGGCTCATTGAGGAGGAGCAGGTGAGCGCTTATCCAGAAAGGCACGGGAGACGAGGAGGCCATGAATCTGGTTAGAACCTAGAAATGGAGATTCAAAAAGGGAAGGAGTAGAAATTAACAGTTGTTCCTCACACACACACACACACACACACACACAGATGTGTGAACAAACGTTCCACAAGAAGGTGGTTGTATAATTTACTTACCTGCACATGCATGCACAATGTTCCAAACACCAGAAGTACTGTTGAATGGACAATATAAACAAACACTCTGGAGTTGAACAACCCCGGTGTGGGTTTGTCAAGTCCTTTACTTGCACCCGTCTCCCAGAGTCCGAGTCTCAGACACATTTCTGGATTGGCTTGAAAATACGCATAAGCTGCCATTATGCCGAGAGTGGCCATGGGTAGAGCCAGGATGAAGTTTGGCATCTGCTTCAGCTCAAAGTAGCGGAGGAAGCCCACATCCCAATAAACATCCTGGATATGAGAATAAAGCAGGGGGAGAGGTCTCATGCACCAGAGGGGCGGCGGACTGTTTTCATCTGGAACCCGATAGCCCTTCAGTTCGGCCAGAGACAGGAGAGCGGGGGGGATCCGCTCCAGGGAGACGGACGGTGTGCAAAACGTCCTGTACCCATAGTACTGGAAAGCACAGAAGGGAAGGGCAATGATTGCAGTTCCCAAGAGGGAGGTGAGCAGGACGCAGACGACGGCCCAAATGTAGCGGAAGACTTTACTGCAGCCTTTTGTCGTTGTTCGATACACACGAATCTGACAAATAGCGTGCAGGGATGGAAGGTACAGGATGAACCCAATGTTGACAAGTCCATTGGATCGTGCTGCAGTGGCTATACTGAGGGCCAGGCAAGCTCGGAAGGTGAATCCTTTCTCCAGGAGGAACAGACCACCGAATGTCAGCGCGGCAAACAGGCTCTCCGAGTATCCGGCGGTCATGAAGACGTTGGCTGGTGTGATGCAGTAGAGCAGGCTGGAGAGCAGAGCGAGGCGCCTGTCCTGAAGGACTATCCTACTCAGCGCATACAGGGCGACCACACTCAACAGGAAGAGGGCACTGTTCCCCACAGCCACGGCCACCAGCAGACGCCCCCGCACACTCAGCCAGCTGCTCAGGGGCCACAGCAGCGTCTCCGCCAGGCCTCGCAGGATGACGGGCAAGAGGGGGAAGAAAGCAAAGTTGTGCTCGTAAAGGTATCCCCTCTCAGCGATGAAGAGGAAGTGCTCGGCATCCCAGTGAGAGAGGCCGCCCAGCAACCACTCCACTGCAGAGTCCAGGTACAGAGGCTCCTCTGTCCTTGGGGGCCTGAACGCCTCAGCATCATGATCAGGGATGACAGCATTGAAGACGGCCTGAGGAGAAATAGTCAGCAATATTAAAAATAAATCCTGCCATCATGCGGTTTTGCTATGCAGAGAAACAAAAGCACACAAGTGTACAGTCACTTTGTCTGTGACCTACTTAACACATGCAGTGTGTATTGCCCGAGCCACCGCTCAGAAATGAAGGTTAATAACAAAACATTGCTGTAAAAACTATGCGTATTGTCCGAAACATCCAACTTGGCTCAAACTTACCTGCAAAAACAGTGACAGGCCCCTGGTGACGGTGGCGAACTCCAGAACTGCTCTGACATCCATAGTCATTGCCGTGACGGAGACACACTGAAGTAGCCGGTTGTGACGGGCCTGAGCATTGTCGCTGCTACGAGACGGTCACTGCTGGATCCGTCATAGTTTCAATAAAACATAGGGAGCCAGGAGAACAATATGCGGCGACGGAGATTCCGAAGTTTCGCGTTTTCATTGGTTTGACTATATTAAGGTGGAGGGTTGAAAAAAAACAAGTAATTTTGTTGGACAGCTACTCGTCAGTCAGTGTTTGTTTTCGCTCAGGTGCAATCTTTGTCCTCACATCCTCATCCTGCAGCAGCATTCGTTTCGAATGGCTCTTTTCACTTCCGGTGTAACCGAAGTCATTTCAAAATAAAAGTTGAATCAGCCCAGATGAGAAGAACGCCTGCGTGTTTTCTGCTACACGCGCAATTAATGATCCCTCTAATAGCATGAGTGTGGCAAAAGATAATCGATCATAGTTTAGATTGTATTTACTTGCCTTTTGTAAAGGTACATCAGCTTTGATTTGACGTCGTGTCTCAGATCCCTTGGTCAGGTGACGGGTGGATTATATTTTTCTCCCCAGCAGGCGGAGCTCCACACCACTCTGTGTCATGGACTGGTTTTTCAAGTGGTGCAGGTATTTTATTCTTCATTCAAAACATGTGAGGACGTTGCATTTGCCTGTCGTTTTAATCTCTCAAATTTGATGGGATTTAAGGTGAATATTTCGCACGTGCCTTTTTAAGTACCCTCCCAAATGTGGATTCAATAGTGACTTTTTGTATGCGTTTCTTTGAGATCCGATGTTAATTAAAATGGACATGAGGTGGTTTCCAACTCATTGTGTCCGTTTGGACCCCGAAGACGGTATAAAATGAAATGTTAGGCTGTCATGGTGCATAATGCTGTTATAATATGAAGTTAATGCGGGGAGAAAGCCTCCACGCAGTCATCATTGAGGCTTTTATGTTATGTAATTATTTTACATGTATGCAGTTACCTTACTGAAACGTAGAAACGGCAATAAAGCTAATGCAAACAGCTGATGTGTAGTCCACCTTCTAGGACCATGTTTCCTGAGCACTGAAATGAAGCATTCGTTTGAACCCAATTGTGTGCGTGTGAATGAACACAATAGTTTGACTCGTTCGTCCAGAAGAGGTCGGCATTTCAGAAGAACAAAACCATCAAACAGCTTATGAAGATTTAATGTACATTTATTCTTACCACGTGGAACATATAGTATAAAGATTTCATACTGAATAAATGATATTCATTGAGCCAAAAAACGGAAAGGGAGGAATTTACATGTTGTCTTAGCTACATAGTCTGAAATACAAATATGCAGAATCCATGACTGAAGAAAAGTTGTCAAATGTGTACTTCATCTAGTTTATTCTTGTTGTACCAGGAGATAACAGGTTTGAGCCGTGTCTGTCGTACTACGGATCTGTGGAGAGACCAGAGGTGTGGGTCGAATCGGTGGGGACCAAACTCGCATCAGCCTCAATCCCTCACCAATAACAAGTGTGAGAATAGTGACACAGACAGAGACAGACACAGAGAAAGGAAGTGTAATGTACAACATTATATATACACCACAGCAAAGCTGTATTTGAAGTTGAAAACCAGTCCTAAGAGGTGATTTCTTTTCATAAGGGTATTCATACAATCAAGGGATAAGAGGAGGTAAGGGTGTTGTAGGTTCTTGATACTTTGGGGAAGAAAGCCATTTTCTGTTGAACACCAAACTAAAAATGACCTCAAAACTCTAGAAGAGCTGCATCTTCTGCTTCTGTGTGAAACGTGTGTTTACAGAATGCTTACACTCAAGAGCAGTACGGTACAGAAAATGTCCTACAATCTACTGCACACTGCACAGGCCTCCCCGGTGAAGGTGTCTATTGACAGCACTTAGTCTACTGTCGGGCTGACTGGTGAAAATCCAACTACAGCAACTATAACCAGTAGGCCACTTGTCAGTCTGCTTCACCTCCGAACTTCAACCAGTTACAGACTCATTGTGCCCTCGAGGGGAGAGCTAGGGCACACTGTGTCTCCCAAACTCACTGTAAACGAGACAGCAACTTTGGTTACAGTTTTTGTTTTTCAGCTATTTATTTATTTATTCATTTATTTATCTTTATTTAAAAAGTACTTTTTCCCCCCAAGTGCAGAACAGTCTCCCAAACGTGGCGCTCTACTCTGTGTCGTCCAGTTGGCGTTCATGTTACAAGTAGTGTCACTATGCGGGCGTCTCTCTGGTTTGTAATCCACCACAGCTCTGCGATTACCCTCCTCGAGCAGGGACGGCCTGGGGAGGGCTCAGAGAATGGGAGTCTGATGGATTTTCATAAATTAAACACAGTCACTTGAACTTTCCTTGCCCTGTTACACACAAGCCGGGTTTCCAGGGAAGAGGGGGAATGGGGGATTAAAAACCCCAAAATGTGGAGCCACGGCTCCCTACAGCTGTCATGACTGGCCAACCAAAAAAAGTACATCACAGATAACATGAGAAACCAGCGAGTTCATTAGGGGAGACACTGAAAGGTCAAGGAGTCGGGACTCTTGTAGTGTGAACTCTGAGTGGTTGTCCTCCACCTTGGCTAAGGCGTGCAGAGCCCGGGCCGCTCGCCGCATCATGTCCGGGCTTGTGGGCTCGAAGTGCATCCCCTGTAGGTGTAGTAGAGAGCTCTGGCTCTGCTGGAGCTGCGTGGCAGCCAGGCTATCCTCCAAGAAGCCTAACAGGTTGCCCACACTTCCTTTCTGAACGGCGATCGCTCGGGCCGCCACGGTATCACCCTGGGCCAGGTTGGCAAGCAGGACAACAGCCATCTCCCTGCAGACCGCCACCTTCCTGTCCCCAATCAGCCGCACCAGGTTCCCGTATAGCTTCTCCAACCGACTGAATGGCGGAGTGGCCAAGATGAGGTCCACATTGTTGTCTTGGATGCTCAGTTTGCTTAGCGTCTCCAGGACCAGTCTCTGGGGTGACAAAGCACTGTGGGGGCCTAAGGTGGGGAAGGGGTCCTGGGCCTCCGCTGATGGGCAGACGGCCCAGTGGAGGAGACCATCCAACAGAGGCAAGCAGATGCTCTCGGGGTAGATGGAGAGGTCCAGTTGGCCCGAGATGTTCGCCAAAGTGACCAGCGTGTTCTCCCTCAGGAGCTCCAAGCAGTCCCACCACCACTCATCCCTTTGGCCCATTCCCTCTTCTGAATCCTCGTCTTTCTCGTAGGTGAGGGGAGCTTGTTTGCGCTCGGGGTGCCTGTGGTGGAGCAGGATCAGGCGTCCCAGTAGCAGCAGCAGCCCTGGATGTTTGGACATCTCGTGGTCATTGCCCGGCACAAAGGAGAGGCTGCGGACAATGTTGGAGACACAAACGCAGCGGCGGGCTAAAGAATCCTGCCAGTTAGCCAGTGCAATGAGCGGCCCTTCATCTTTGCTGTGAGGCTCGTCCTCCAGGATGACGCCGGTCTGCTGCGCCCGCGGGGTTAAAACACTGTCGAGGGAAGGAATGGGTCCGTTACTCTCCTGGTGACTTTCATCGACTTTATCAACCGTCTTTGTCTCAGAATCCGTTTTCCTCTCCTCCTCACTGCTGAGGGAGGGGCTGGCCTTCTCTGAGGAAGAGGTCTCTTCTTCCTCTTGATTCTTCTTTTTCTCTCCCTCGGTTGGCAAACAGTTTTCCAGACACACTTCTTCTGGGACTCGTCTCTTCAGCAGACTTGAGGGCACAGATATCCGCGCTCGTGGTTCCAAGAAATCTTTGCGTGGTTCAAAGTGAGTCTGGATGTGGTCTGTTGAGTCTCCCCCTCCAGCGCTCCAATGAAGTAACCCGCTGTCAAACTCTTGCAGTTTGCCGTGATTATTGGACTGGCTGGTCGTAAATGGGTCTTTCTTTCGTACCACTTTGAGGGGATACTTGTCAAACTTGCTGGCCTGTTTGGGTCTCTCATGGGCAGCTAGGGATTGCAATGAGCCGGTCTGGTCAGAGGAAGAACCCTTGCTCTTCCTCTCCTCATCCTCCATCTTCTCATCTTGACCCCGAGATTCGGAGCACTGCTGTTGCTCTTCCTCCTCTTTTACACGAGCTGGCCCCTCCGTTTCTTGTTCCTCCTCTTCTTCGTCATCCCCTTCCTCTTGTTCCACGTCTTCAGCCCCCAGATCCTCTTCCTCCGTGCTGTCCCAGTCTCGTTTCAAGGCATCGGGATCGAGTAGTGTCCTCTGGCCAGGGTCTCCCACCTCATACTCCCGCAGGATGCCAAAGATTTCAATGAGGCAGCGTCTGAAATACTCAACCACCAACTCTAGTAGGCCAGGCAACTGAAGAAAGAACACAGATATTAAAAAAAATATTAGACATCATCACTACGCATAGTGTATCGTTATAAACAGTCATTAAGGGCTCAATGTTAAGTCTCACCGTGTTGAGCTCAAAGGTGGAAATACTGTTGTCGTCATACAGGAGAATGTTGATGGTATCTAAGGCCCACGTACTCTCAGCCAACATACCAGACTTTAATGACATCATGACTCTCCAGGCCTCCGGGGTTCCTAAGACAAACACAAATGATACCCTCTTAGCAACAACTTAAAACAATATAGCTGGACGAAGCAGCATTAGGCGGCAAATAAGTTAAACATCTATAACCTATAGTCGTACCGATTTCTTTCACGGTGAGTCTCCGACGTGGTTTCAGGACAGGGTGGGACGCTTCTATAGAGCCTGGGGGAAAAGGCATGTCTCGCCTTATGAGAGGCGACTGCACCGGAGCGGGTACTATGTGAGATGCAGGCACTGGGGGGCCGGCCTTCTGCATCTTCATTACTCCCTGCATATAGGGAGATTTATTAGGCGATGTCCTGCTGTCCATGGGGCGGGGCATGGAGGCCGGGCTGGACACCTGTGGAATGTGGTTCTGCACTCCCTGAAGGGGCTGGTAGGTGGACTGTACTGAACGAGGCATAGGTTGCCCGGGCCCAGCTGGACCATAAGGAGGCTGCCGCGGGCCCATCTGACCCCCCCACTGGCCATCGTGATTCATACGCTGTTCTGATGACATCATCTCCTCTGGGCGGTTCATGCCAGGGTAACCGGGTCCTTGGGGTGGGCCCCCAGGGCCACCCGGCCGGCTGGGGTAGTTCTGATAGTTCATGTCTCGCGGCCCCTGCCACATACCTGCCTGAGGTCCCTCGGGGCCTGGCTGCATCATCTGAGGGGGCATGTTGGGCTGAGCGTTGGGCCCCGGCGTTGCCTGCATACGTTCACGGCCGAAGGGGAAGGGAAACTGATTGCCGGGGCCAGGTGGACGGTGATCAGCGCCGGGGAAGGGCCCAGTGCCGCTGTACTGATTGTACGGCTCCTGCTGTCCTGAAGAGGGTGCAGGGGCCCCTCCTTGCTGTTGCGGCTGCGGTGGTTGTTGTCCACCATGGAAGGGCCCAGTGTACTCCGTCTCATGACGTTTTGCTGGAGGATAACCCCCTTCCACAGAACGCTTGTAACTCTACACGTCAAAAAGGAAGAGGGAGAGACTAGTATTTAACACCATTTTTAGTACAAATGTAAGAATGAATACATAATGTTCATAACAGTGTCAACAGTCAAAGAAGAGAAGATAAACAAAGCGAATACAGTGAGAGTTAGTGTGGTGAAGGATCCCTGACCTGTTGTTGTTGTTGTGGGTACATTCCAGGCTGCTGATTTGGATAGGAGCCTGTAGGGGGCGTTCCCTGTCCAGCATACTGATTACCATAGGAATCATGCCTGCACACATTAAGCCTCGTCAGTTTGAACATTAAAACATTATGCATCTCTAACTCACTGGATTGAGTCATGGTCATACACACAGTCAACATCAATGCTCATTATAGTGATGAATTTGTGACCGGAAAACATCCAGGGCTTCTTTTTGTTTACAGCTTCACACTCAAAACACTTAATTACATCATATTAAATTAACTCACTAAATTTCAAATTGAGAGTACATTTCAACCGTGCTTACATCACCACACCCACATACAATAAGCCCAAACCAAAGAACTGTGAAGACAGAGATATGGAGTGAATATTTCACCCGTGAAGGACAGCAACAAAATTGTAATGTTTATTACTGTTATTTTGTCACAAATAATAAATATTGAAATAACATAAAAATTGCATTGTGTTTAACTACATTGTACAGTAAGAGAACAGAACTGACGGTTAGATGTTTTATATGAAGAATGAACAGTTTCCCTTTGACAGCAGCTTCAAGCTTAGCGATAAGTGCAACGTGAACTGACCGTGGCTGCTGTGGTGGGAAGCGATTTGGCGAATACATCCCAGCGTCGGCGTTGGCAGGTATCATCGGGTTTGGCTGAGGAGCACCGGTTCCCATGTTGCCCTCTGGTCCCATTCCTTGCTCCGATCTGATTAAACTACAACAACACACCCGGTAAGCTTTTTTTCCACATTTTGTAGCGAACAGACATACAAATTATGCTAGAGCTCATAAAAAACAACAAGAGAATAAACCAAGGTTACGACCATGAACATGAATACGTTGGTTGCAATTAAATATCAGCTACTCGTCAAAATATAATTGATACATTTTTTTATCTGGCTCATAAGCCTGCGACTACTACCAGTCATGTAAGCAGGCAATCGGTCAGTTTACAACTTTTTATTTCCGTTAGGATTTGTCAGAGCAGCACAAATCCAGTGCACAACCCTTCTTCTGTCACAAAATGAAACAGCAAATAGGATACATGGTTGCACCGCAGTCTAAACGTATCTTTTAAAACGTTTTCAGACATGTTTGACTGAATTTGAAGATTGTATTTGGTTTTGGTGTCCATTTGGTAACATTACTGTCGATCCCTGGCAGTACATCGTCGACTCAATTACCAATTCCCATGCATTTCAATTTCAATCAAATAATATTAAGAAATTCAGCTTTAGAGATCCTTTTCTTGACCTGCACTTTGAGGTGTGACTGATCATAAGAATAGCTGCCGGATACAATAAACAGTGTTCAATGACTTTGAAGATGCCGTCTCCTATTCAACGATTCTTACCTCCTGTCGTAGCCTGGTCCATAGGGAAACTGCTGTCTGGGCCCCATTGGCATCGTGCCCATGGCCCCAGGCAGTCCTCTGTTGAATGGAGGCTGCTGCTGTGGCGGCTGCTGCTGCTGCTGCTGCTGCTGTTGTTGTGGCGGTTGCTGCTGCTGTTGGTCGCCTACCCCGCTGGTAAGGCCCGGGTTAGCAGGTAGAAAGTGCTCCCCGACTGGAAATGCATTCAGAATTAAAGTCCATTAGGAGCTGACTAACTGAACGGGTAATTAAGGAAGTACTTTAGTTTCTAGGATAACATAATTCATTCAGTGTGCCCACCTTTCCGCATGTTACCAAAGGGGTCCTTGTTGGGTTCGTAGGTGCCCATGCGCCCCTGTATGTCTGGCGTGTTCATGCCTGGCTGATAGGCGGAGTTGGGCGTCATGTTCTTCCGAGGGAAAGCAGGGTCACTTCCGTCAGAGAAGGGGTCCTGCAGGTTAACGCTGCTCCTAGAGAGAAGCAGGGGTGAGGGGGAGGGGGAATTAGGAGATAAGTGGGAGAGACAGACGGAAAGGCAAGAACAAAATTAGTTTATCAAATCAAAATGTCTTTCAGAATCAAATGGCAAAACCAGAGGTTGTTTAACGACAGTCACCTGGACCCGGGTGGCATGGGGGGCATCTGGGTATGAGGAGTGGAGGCTGGGGTGGGAGGCTTTAGGTCCCCCCCCTCGGCCATGGAGCTGCTGGTGGACTGGGGTGTCTGAGGGCCCTGCAGAGAGCCTGACCCAGCTGTGGAGCAGAGGGACGCTTCAGTTTGAAACAAGAGAGGAGCAGACAGACATGGAACATGACTTTAATGACACTCAAACACAGCAAGTTGTGCATGTTTGTTGATTTCAAAGTGCGTGCATGTGGTTTACTGAATTGGTACTCTACTTAAAAACGTGTTGAAGGATTACATGAGTAGCGCTCTAACCTGGAGAGGGTGGCTGGACCTTGGCAGCTTGGCTCTTTTTGTTGTCTGTAAAAATCTCAGGAGGAGGGTCCTCACCACGCTCGATTTTGCACTCAAAGGCATACAGACACTGGATGTACTGTTTCTTCAAAGAACTGGCGGCACTGCTGGATGTACCCACATTCAGGGAAGTGGCCAGATCACGCCATTTCTTATTCTTACTCACCTGGGGGCCGAACAAACAAGACAATTGTTTTTAGAATAGAGATTACAATAGGGGAATTTGGACTTGGAATTTTGGACTTAGATTACAATATTAACCTGTGCCATGCTTCCGATCTCTTTGACTGACATATAGAGCCGGAAAAGATCGAGGGGTTTGCGTCCCACAGCAGGCAGGTTGGTCAGGCCCATGGCCTTCTCTTCAATGAAGGCCAAAAATCGGTCCACCCACATCTTCCTTTCAGGCTCTGGTCCCAACTCATACAAACGTGTTATCTTTTCATTGGTTGTAGTGGAAGAGTTGGACTTCTGTATTGTGCAAGATTTAAAAAAAATGAACCCAAGTGCAACTTCAAAAGTGTTCAGACTTTCAAAGACTTTCAAAAATACTGTTGTTACAACATGTAGTAGACGGGTTACCTTCGGTTTGGGCTCTGGCTTCGGGGTTACACTCCCATCTACTTTGTTATTCATCTTATTGTTCACCTCTGGACTGGGGGCCATACCTAGACACAATAACAGGGATTGGATTCATCTGTGAAATGACCACATTGAGAAGAGAACAAAGCTGGGTGTGGTTATCTCTGTACAACTTACCACTGGAGTTATTGGCCATGTTTGGCCCCATAGGATAGGGTGATCCACCTTGAGTGTTCATCATTCCAGGCATGTTGTTCATGGGCGGGCCATAGGGTGGGCCGGAGCCCATCATGCCTGGAGTCATGTTAGGGTAACCAGGCATCCTGGACGGAGGAGAAAACAAAAGGAGCATTTAGTAGTCATAAAAAACAAAGTATGGTACAGGTATCTCTTGCTCAAGCATAAGTGAGAATCAGAGGTCTTGTGTGAGGTAAATAAAAGGTTGGCACTTGAGGATCCATCATTAACCAACCTGTTGTGCATGGAGTTGGTGGCAGGGTGCTGCATGGCAGTGGGGTCCTGGGGCTTTCTGTTCATGCCCGGAGGAGGACCCATTCCTGAGCCTACCTGGGGTGGCATGTTGCCCATGTTCGGACCCATGCTGGGGCCCATATTTGGACCCATATTGGGGACATAGGGGCGTGCTCCCATTTGATTAGGAGGCATCCTTCCCGGGGGCATGCCAGCATATGGCGGTCCCCCACCCTGTCCTCCCATGGAGTTCATTGGGCCTATGCCTGGCCCTGTGTAGTTTGCATTGGGCATGTTGCTATAACCAGGTTGTCGGGGATAACCTAAGGATGACATTATAGTAAAACATATTCAGGTAAAGTAATCACTTGGCTTTCACTGTAAACGGGTCTGATAAAAGTCACTGCAACACAGAGCTTATTTGTGTTGAGCAATAAAATGTAATCGTTATAGCTGCCGTGTTTTCCTTTAGAGCCGTGTGAGGCAGACTGTTTCCCTACAGTGTGCTAGCAGGAAGAGCTATGCACCCTGAGCAACAAGCCTTCCTCACAGTCTCAGCTCTACTGACAGGAGGCTCTGCTACATCAGCTGACTCTCTGCTTCACAGCTATAAATAGCTGCCACAGAGTCAGAGGGAGGGACCAACGGTAGCATGGTATTCCTATGAGGCAGGGGAGATATATTCCATAGGTTTGTCCAACGGGATATGCACAAGAGCAAACATCCCAAACAGAGAAGTAAATTAAGTGGAACGCCTTTAGAAACCAAAACCTGAGCCGTACAAATGTAGCTTATAGAAGCCATTTCACAATCAATCTTTTCACATCTGATTAGAATTTACAAACTTACTAAATCTCTCTCTCTACAAGTAAAACCATAACAATGAGAAAGTGCACACCTTGGGGGCCATATTGTCCTCCCTGTTGTCCGTAGCCACCCATTGAGTTGTTCTGCTGATATGGGCCCATCGCAGGGTGCATCTGTCCCCCGGAGGACTGGCGAGGAGACAGTGCAGAGGCTGACTGGGGGGAGCCATATGGGGGCATCTGAGGGTTTCTCTGCATAAACCCTAGAAGTCGGCAAGAAAGAGGGACATAGTGGTCAGACTCGGATGCTTTGGCAAACACTCTTGACATGTTCATATAATGAACACTTTGGCTGCAGCATACCTCTGTCCTGGGCCATAGGAGACTGACTCATTGCAGGATGTAGACTCCCATCTGACAGCACACTTGATGGCCTCGGAGGCATCTGGGTCCCTAAATAATAATATGCAAGTTAAGTTAGTGAGGGCTCAAAAAGGGTTCAATACAAGTACTGAGTTTCAAGTCACTGGGTATATAAAAATAGGGCAGGTAACACAAATATGGTATTTGTAAGTATTCGGCTCAGTTTTTTGGTCAGACTTTCTACCCATTCTCAAAGCTTTATGTAACGTTTCAACCCCGCTGGCCCAACAAATGCATGTTTTGTTGATGACCACAGTGCAACCAACAGAATCTAAATACATTTTAAGTGCAGCTGAGACCCCGAGATGATGGAAGAAACCAAAAAGGAGTTTGTTTGATGATGAAAATGAGAAACGTTTTCAGTGGATCTATGTTTTTTTCTAACTTTACAGATACTAAATCAGTTAAACGATATTCAATTATGATAGTAATAGTTTTGTTATCATGACCTACAGCACAAATCATTGCGTGTCTAGATCACAAGTGTCAGAAATTGTTAGTAATCATAGGTGCATCAGTGTGAGAGTGACCTGGCATGTTGGCGGGCGACAGCGGTCCTGTGCGGGGTGTGCTGGCGCCGGCAGGAGAGCCGGCTGGCGAAGGTGAGGGCCCCCGGATGCCTGGCAGGTGGGGAGACGTGTGGGGAGAGAAGGGCGACTGTGGCTGGTTGCTCTGCTCACCCTGGCCGCTCGACACGCCCGACGTGCTCACACCGGGACTCAGGGCCCCCTCTGTGCCTGTAGGCAGGTCATCAATGGACCCCGACAGGTCCTGAAAACACGCACAAGAAGAGCAGAAATTGAGTCAACGTATTCAAAAAAATGATTACAATTTTACAAATTCAGCTCTTGTGTATTTTGATACAGACAATATTTTGCACAATTATTATAGTACTATAATGTTAATTTCACACACTGTATTATTAGCGAGTTGCAATTTCTTCTCCATTGTTTAGATAACAGAGGCACACATACAAATACTACCTACCTACCCACACACACACACACACATTTATCTTTTTCAAAGAAAAAAAAAAATGAGTGTGCATTAGTGCCAGGGGTTGTCATGGTTACCGTGGATTGTAGGATGCGAGCTGAGTCAGCATGTTGCAGCAGCCCTGCCATGTAATTTCAATACACACACAAACTATCTTGTATTCATTTAAGATGTACTTATTCACACGGCACCTTTTCCAAATAGCTGTCTCTCAACAGCCACCAATGTGCTGCAGACACACAGAGTTTCAAACCATCGAGGGACTGAAAGC